GAAAAACATAATGCCAAGTTTTTTTAATACTTTTTCGACAGGGAATTGTTTGTTCTTTCTATTTTTAGATTTATTATGCTTTCAAAAATTTATGAATTTTTTTGTATATTTGCGCCTCTCGTTGCTTACTATTTCGACTTCCCATGTAGCTTGTCCGATCATGGAAAATAGGTGAAAGTTTAAATAAAATAAATGTTTCTTCTTTTTTGTTTTTGTTTTTCTAATAAAAAATGCCTTTTTAAAACGAAGAAAAAAGGAATTCGAATATTGTAGTANACCTATTTATGGCCGTAAATGAATCAAAAATCGGTCCGTAAGCGGCTACCATAACTTTCGTAAACGGCCGTATAACTCTCACCGTATACGGTAGGGACAAATACGGCCGTATTACTGCCCCTGTTAAAGCGGAGAAATACGGTGCCGTAACGGGCCACATTTTCATCGTATTCGCCCGAAAATATCCCGTATTCTTGTCGTTTACGACCGTAGACGACGCCGTAACGATATCCGTTTTGACCGATCTGGGTATGAAATACATCAAAATTAGTGTCCACCTCAGCATTTTTATGCAATTGTTTTGCTGATTGAAATCACAATGTCGTAAAGTTTGGAATACTATTTTCAAAGTAATAAACTTCAGTAGGATCTAATTATATTTTGATTTGAATCATAGAATAATCATTACTTTGATATGGTCATTTTGCTTCTGCCATAGAGAGAAAAGAACTGGATTGCATAGAGCACTAAATTAGTCCATTCTTTACCTACATTATATTATTATTGCATGGCGAATTTCACACGGTTTTGCTGGGCAATGATTTTCAAGAATTTAATGATTCTTAAATGATAAAGGATCTGAAATTGATTGCAATATGCGTCCTAAAAGATTGAGTATTTATTTCTACATCGATCTATTTATGAGCGAGGCCATCAAAACCTGTTTTCCATGTCTGATACTCCTCGGATGACTGACGTTTACTGGTAGTTTTGTTCACAACTCGACTCTTGGTATTATTCAACGTATGGGCAGAGATTCACAGATTACTGTGCCTTTGAACGCGCGGGTGTGGGGTGTGTATTGTTAATTTTCACGTTCAATCAACCCAACTCCGAAACTGACTCCCCTGTCGATCTATATTAATACCAACATCCACAAAATACATCCATCGAGTCATGCGCAATCTAACAAAAGCAAGAAATATCGCAAATCTGGATGGTTTCAATCAACTTGAAACTTTGGATTAATGAATATCTGCCCCTTATTTCGTGTTACACATAAATTAAATGGGACATGTTCACAGATTTGGTGTGACTGATATCCAGAGTATGAACAACCATTAATGTATTTAATTTGATAAATAGCAGTGCCACCGAACGCTGAGTCAACTGGAATGAGTGGATGATCGGGAGGAATCGACTTTTGATGTACACTAATGTATGTGTCCACTCCTCGATTGAGTGTGATGAGTCTAATAATAATGTTTGTTGCTCTATACCAACAGTCATAGTTAACCACTTTATCACGAAGAGCCCATATATCATAATATCCGCCAAACTGCGAAGCTGTCATAGCACCCCACTCATCAATACTATAGTCAAAGTTTGTTAAGAATTGAGCTTCATCCAGTCGTGTGTTAATATCAAGATCAATAGCCATGTAAAAAGTTCGACCAGATGATATGAAAAGCTCACTGTTCCGAGCGTTATCTAGTACATTATTTCTGCAATATGCAATACGTTCCGTTCGGCCTGTTATATAGCGTGACACGTTACCATAGGTCTGTACTATCACGTGAGGATTCTCTCGACTCCACTTATAAAGGAATGACAGAGTGTTGTCAGTAGAGTCCGATTCTCCAATGTAAAGATAGTACTTCATAAATAATGAGGTTATACGTTCAATTTTTGTTCTAAATACAGGAAGTCGGTGTTCAATGTTGCGAGCGCAACCCGTAACAATCAGCGAACAGTTCCTTAAAAATGCACGCTTTGCTTCTACGCTCAATTTCTGGTCTGTAGGCGTTAGCTTCGTGGAATTTACCAACCAAAACGTAATTGGTGGCTGGAAACGTTGCTTGAGAATAAGCCATATGAGCACTATAAAAATAATTGTAAGTAGAACTACGACAATGTGACGGCGAGAGGCATGTATAAAGTTATTGAAGCGCATTTAATTGTCTTTATTCCCTCTACTGAAAGGAGGGTATTACGAAAAACGAGTTAAATGCGTTCGTTCGTTCAATAGGAACGCAGATGCATAAACTTAACTAACCACAAGCAATCTCCTGCAGGGATAGGGTTGACCGAAGGTAATCGGGATCAGGAGACACGGTGGCGTTGTTAGTTTTTTGAAATTTTCCTTTTTCCTTTTCTAGGAGAGTGAGAGAGACTTTTTTTAGAAAAAAATAGCTTCTTATACGAGTCGATCGAAGGTAATCGGGAGCGGGGAACTCTAATATGGTGTCAGATTTTCAGAATTTATGATCCTCAACTTTTTTAGTGAAAAAAATAGTTTTTCGAGAAAATAGTTTTCCTTGTAAAGTTTGATCAGATGCCGTCGGACTAGAGGGAGTCGAATCGAAGGTCAGATTTTTCAAGTTTCGCTTCGTACCTTTTTTATGGAGAGAAAGAGAGTTTTTAAGGAAAAAAATGACTTCGTTTAAAGTTTGACCGAAATTTTTTGACGCGGAGTCTTTCGATTTTTAGTGTAGCTTTTCAAAAACATTTTGTCATCGTTTTGGTAAACAAAGAGAGTTGCACAGAGGTCTATTGCACAGATTGAACACATGAGCTTTTTGAAAAAGTAAAAACAAGTGACCAGCAACTGGTGAGTGACTGGTATTTCCAAAAGCGTTTAGGAGTACCACAACGCCGTTACTAGTGGTTATGATCCTAGACAAATAAATAAAGTTGATTCAAATAAAGTAGCCGATGTCGGTGGATCGAATATTAAATGTTTAATAATCTTTCATAGTTCAAGCAAGTTTATAATGCATTAGGAGCTGTTTAGATCATCATATTTTCATGATAGGAATTCTTTGTCGGCAAACTTTTTAAGGGTATCATTCGATGATGTTGATAGTGGTATATATATATATATGTATCGTATGCTTATATTGGATATTATTACGAATCGGCTATAGGCATCTTGTGGTGGAATTGATTCTTAAGTTGGCAACGGCTATTCGTGATTGGCGTCCGAGAGGGGCGCCTGACGAGCGACTAGCTGCTTACCTGGATATATCCTTGTTTCATTGCGTAGAGAGGTGTCACATATCCGAAATATCGGGCATGCTGGAGATGCCACGGGAGACGCTGACATACAACACTATAACTAACATAATGCAAATACTATGCGTATGTAAAATTCTTTGAGAGCATTCTGCGTCTCACGCAGAGATGCCGCATCTCCAGGT